TATATATATATATATATATATATATATATATATATATATATATATATGCATATACTCATATCTTAGTCCTCATATACTGGAGTTATACACTGCTCGTTCTGAATTGCAAGTGGAGTGTAGGTAATCCTGGCCCTTCAGGGCTTAGGAGAGAACATACCTTTGCTCTACCATCACTCTACTATTTGATTTAAAAGATGTTATAATAGTGCCAACAAGATGGTTCAGCAGATAAAGACCCTTAACCATCAAACCTAAAGACAAGAGTTTGATTCCAAGACCCACATGGAAGAACACATTTAAAAATGAACACACAAAAATGCGAAAAAAAAGTCCTATTACTTCCTGCTGTATCTTTCAATGATATGACACTAATTATTTAACAGAGGTCTGGAGGAATTAAGAGATGCCACTCAATGTTACAGTGTCTACCGTGCATGTGTAAGACCATCAAGTTCAATGTACAAGCAACACACAACAAAAGAAGAGAAACTGAAACAAAGCCCTTGAAGTCTCTAGTGATGAGATTAGACAAATGTTTTTATCTCTAGGAAAAGGAGCAGTCATTAATTCCTCCTGGAGAATTTGGCAACATAGAATTAACAAAAAGTGACTGTGGTGAAAGAGAAAAACTAGGAAACTGAAGAACAATGTAGAGATATTCCCATGTATCCAACACTATTCATGGTGCAGGATGGACTAAACCTTTGAATTTAGGATTAAAGGAGTCCTTAGGAACCAAACTATACAAAAATAGTGTTGTATATAAAATCACAAGTATAAGAATAATTAAAATGATTGATTTAGTTCTTATTAAGGACCTTGTGTGGTCTACATATAGATGAAAAAACAAGATAATAATAAGAATACTGGAAATGACACCCAATTTAAGTTAGATAAGGAAGGAGTATAACTTACTAGTACAGTATATACTTAGCAGGAGATAAGCCCTGAGCCAATCCCTAGTACCAAGACACAGAAAAATAAAAATCCACCTTAAGAACTGACATCTTTGTAAAAACAGTAAAACCAAGATTCAAAGACAAGCCTGCATCTGTAAAAAGGGACAGTGGTTTCTACAATGCCAATCAGGCTTAAATTTCAGATTTAATCTACTTCTCTTAAACAATTTTACAAGGCAATTTTACAAAGCAATCTCTTATCCACCAGTAATAGAACGATAACAGTGCCTGAAAAAGAATCTGCTACATGGGTAAGGAGACATTTAAAGCAACAAAATGCAAAGATTTAAGCAATTATTAAGCATTCTCAAAAATAACCAATATCTATAATATTCACACATTTCTAGGAATATTCTAAAGAGTACTATACTATTACTTTTTTTTTTTTGGTAGAACAGATTCTATTATTTTCCTCTCAAAACAGATTTGGAATCAATTATTGGAATTTTTCATACATATTTTATTATTAAAAATAACAATATATTCTTGATTTCGCTGGAATCAATTAAAAGGACAAGTGATGTTCCACTATAGTTTTTTGTTCTTTGGAACGGTTCTTCAGTTTCTTTTGGTTTTATTATTTCAACCTTATGGAGAATAATGAGAACTACCTTTATTCTTAACATGATTTTTAAACAGTGGCAAGATCTAATTAGTAAGGCTATACTATTGGTTTCCTAAAAGTCAAATGGCATCCACAGAAATTGTGAATGCATGGAATCGAATTTTTAAGTGCTCTAAATTTTGATTACGAAAAGGAATTACAACACACCGCTACTTCGCACATTAACACCATCTAAGCTTTCTGCTTTACAAAAATAAAAAAATTCTAAATTATACAACTGACCTTCACTTAAGTAAATGAAACATGAGAAAATCTGGATTTAGGAATCAGGTCTAATAGAAGTTTAGTTGCTAGCCATGCTTGGTGGCGCACGCCTTTGATCCCAGCGCTCAGAAGGCAGAGGTAGGCTTGTGAGTTCAAGGCCAGCCTGGTCTAAAAAGTGAGTCCAGTGCAGCCAAGGCTACACAGAGAAACCTTGTCTCGAAAAACCAAGTTTAGTTGCTCAGTAAAGATGATCTCATAATAAGATATATCCAAACATATGAGTATTCCAACATCATCATCCTAGCTCGTGAAAAGAAATTAACTTACAAATAGTCAAATTTCCTCTGACACAACTCTAACTATCAGCTATGTTCTGGCCGCCTAGAATAAACATTCAATTCACAGGAACAACTTGAAAACGTAAGAGCTGGGTTATGACAGAGTAACAGACAATAAAGTGCATAAGGTGTATCTGTTACGTGCATATACTGTGAATCCAGTTCATTTTCAATACCTCAACAGAACCCCACCCCCACCCCACCCCGTTTTTCCTCTGTAGAGGGAAGTCAGTTGTCACAAAAGAGGTTGGGGACTTTAAAATCAAGTTCCATCTACTACAGGTCCCAAATCCTGATCTGGAGTATTAAGGTAAATCAGTGTTTGTCGATTTAGCCAGACCCTGGAAGTGGAATACATTTATGCATAATCACTTAGTGTTGTCCCGGTGGTTGGGCAGCAGAACCCCCGGGGACACAGACCCTTCCTTTAGGAAAGGTGCTGGCGCGTTGCTCTTCAAAGCCTACAGTGGCCGCTGAGGTAAAAGCTCATTTTCCTCTCGGTGTGAAACCAATTCTAAAAGAGAAAGAACGTCTCGATTCTCCTCCTAATGGAAGGCAGGCCCTGGGAATCCCTGCCACCTCCGCGGAAGCTAAGGCTTGGAAGCAGCCAAGAGCTGGGAGGGGGTGAGGCAGCCTAGCCGGTTCTATGGAAACGAGAGACGCGGGCGGCCTAGCACCCGGGCCCGGGAGCAGGCAGCGGCCGAGAGCACGGTGCGGGCGGCGCCCGGCCGCTCCGCCTGGCGGGGCCGAGCGGGCCGACGTCCGAGGCCCCGGCCACCGGCGCGGGCGCCCGACCCGAGTTCACCATGAAGGAACCAAGGCCGCGGACGGCGCGAGCGCCAGGCGCCTCCGCGGCCCGGCGACGAGGGCCGGGATGTCCCAGGCGCGGCCTGGGCCGCGGAAAATGGCGTCTTCCGAGCTGAGGCGCTTTACCTTCCCGGCCGACCGAGCTTCTGGGCTGTTTTCTTCGGGCGGCGGCGCCGGGGGCGGCGGCAGAGGTGACGACCACTGCGGCAGCACTCAGGGTTCCACTAGGCTGGGTTCTAGGAAATAATTTCCCGCCGCGCGCTCGGCGTCCGCGGAAGCGGTTTACTACTTCCGGGTGGTTGTTAGTGACGCTCTCGAGCGGTCGCCAGGGCCGTCTGAGCTGGGGCCGCTCGGTTCTGACCAGCGCGTCTGGCCCTGGCGGGGTCCGCGCCGCCGATGGAGACTGGTAAGTGACTGTTCCCTCTTGTCTCCTCGGCTGTTGTTTCCGTCCAGCCAGCTACCGCCGCGTGTTTGTTGGGCCGAGAAGTGAGCAGGCAAGGACTGAACCCCTAAATCCCCAGTCCTGTCCCGTGGCTCCCAGCCCTCGGCTGGAGAAGGCCCTGGGACCCGGCTTACAGTCTCCACTCGCTTTTCTTATTTCCAACGTGGAAGTCGATCTTGGCACTGCTGTGCCAGTGATCCGGCAGTGTTTCTACGGTGTTTGTGCAGGGTTTGGTCACCCTGGTTTCCTAAAAGTTGCATTATGTTCCTTCTACTGAATACCGTTAGAACAGTTCGGGGATTCACTGGGAGGGCATGCAGGCAGCTAAAGAGGAAATCTACATCTATTCAGAATGGCGCGTTCCTGACTGATAATTAATTAGTTGAACTTTTCTCCTTCAGTTTTATTTAAGAACAGCCTCGGTTTTTGTTATTGCTATGCATTAATGAGATGGTATCCGACTTACAATTCTGTGCAGCAGCTTTAGAGACACGTTTTGAAAAACATTGAACCAGGTGTACTTTCGAAAAGGAATGTTTTGGCTATACCTGCAGAGTCTCCAGCTGTGAATAGTTCGGGAGAATTTTGGATGGAGGCCTGAGTCACCCAGAGGAGTTGTAAAGAGAAATTGATTTGTAACAAATGTCTCGTGTGAGGAAAGATGCTCATTTATTCAAAGACCCAAAGGGTGCCATAAATGAATCTTAGAGTGTTACTTTTTCTTGACTAATACAGTTTTTCCAGGTGAATTCACTGATCACATTTGTTTGTGATTCATTGACCACCTTTCCCTCATTTTTCCCTCCATCCCAAAAAGGTCTAGAGATTACCATAAAGAAAAATGCAATTTTGGAGCTAGAGAGATGGCAGAGTGATTAAGAGCATGTTTTTATACATAAAATACTTACATAAACAAATCATTTAAAAAGAAAAATGCCATACATTAAAGGACTTTAAAGCAGCATGCAAGTGACCTTTTGCTTTTGAGAGCAAAGCTACCATATTTCAGAAAGCATGCTGATGTTGATCTTTCTAACTTGGCTTATTCACTGAACTTTAAAAAATATTGTCATTTTATTGATTACTTATATTTTAAACAGTTATAAGTTCTTTCAGGAAGATTTTATATGATTTCCATATAGTCACACAGTGACTCATTGTTTGCGACTCATATTCATATAGCATTCATTTATGCTCACAAGTATCTACCTTCTGCCTAGCAGTTTATATTCACGATTTAATGCTTATAAAAGAAAAATCCTGTCTTTTTGCATACATTTTATATTGCGTCTTAGAGGATGTAACTTACATAAAATTGTCAAGACTGAGATTCCAGCCTACCTGACTCTGAAATTTGGCTCTTTTCCTGGCATAGTGGCATGTGCCTGTAATTTCAGTATTTGGAGAGTGAAAGCAGGAGGATGAGGAGTTCAAGGTCACTAGGTTAAATCTTAGACCCTAAACACCAATCTGAACTATATCTGACTCTGTCTCAAAAATAAATCAAAACAAAACAACCACAAAACAGGCTGGAGAGATGGTTGTGTTGGCTGGTTTATACAACTTTATTTGTGTTCTTATACCTCTACCTCCATTCCAATCCTTATTCTACACCAATCCCTTCTAACCCCCAATACTATGTCAGAGAGGGGAAAGGGAGTGCAAATCTCTATAGGATACTTCCTGCTGAGTAAGGACTTAAGAGTTCCTTGAGGCAAGTCCAATCCAGGTTGTCAGAATTTCCAGCAATCCAGCAATAGCAAAAGCAGCAGCAGGAAGAACTAGCAGCAGCAAAGACAGCAGCAGGGGGAGCAGCAGCCACCTTCTTTGGAGTGCCTCCGGTACTTCATCCTCTTACCTGTAACCTTTCTAGTTGCATCTTAGATCCTTCCATTTCCATTCACAACTTTTTCAATTGTCTTACCATTTTGTGCCAACTCTTGTTTAGCCAGAATGTAAAAGGAGGAAAAAAAGAAAATATAGAAAATCCTTTCTGGGAACAAAGTGGGAGAGACACAGTGGCAGCAACTACAATAAACTTTTTGTTGACATCCTGAAACAGAATATCCATTTCTTCATAGCTTACCACCTCTATGGTACTAGAAAACAGATTTTTCCATTACTTCAAGCCCTAAGTCTGGGTGCTGCTTGTAGGTGCTGTTTTTGCTCTATTATTCCAAGTCCCATGCTGTGTGCCACATGTTGGCGTATTTGTTTACACTGCTTTATTTGGGTTCTTAAACCTCTGCCTCCCTTCCAACCTTCATTCCACCTTAATGCCTTCCTTTCCCCCAACACTAGGTAGGAGAGGAAGAAGGTTAGAGCTGAAAGGAGGTATAGACCTCTGTAGGCTATTTCCTGCTGATTAGGGTAGAGTTCCTTGAGGCAAGTCAAGCTTGCTTGTCAGAATTTCCAGCAAACCAGCAATCCAGCAATCTAGCAATAGCAAACGGAGCAGGATGAACCAGCAGTATCGAAGGCAGAAACAAGGCAGCAATAGCTGCCATCTTCTTTGGAGTGTCCCCGTGCCCTCTGGAGGCTATGGCATTTATTCCCTTTTCAGTGTCCTCAGAATTTCCAGCAATCTAAAATTCTAAACACTCATGAAGCAAAGAGTCTGCTGTTGTGGACAGTTTGAAGCAACCCCATATCCCACATCTGGGATTAAATAAAAACATGTTTACATAACATAACTGGGGTTTTAAAGACACCAAAATTCTCACTACCTGGAAGAGTTCTTGTTCCTTTAGAACTCTGGTGTTTGCTTCTTAGCACCCACATGTGATGGCTCACAATGGCTCTATAACTCCAACTCCAAGTGATCCAATATCTTTTGGCTTTTGCTGGTACCTGCACATATGGCGCGCACACGCACACACACACTCTCTCTCTCTCTCTCACACACACATACACACACACATAAAAATAAATGTTTCAAAAAGAACACAGATCATAAATCATTTCTGTCTTAGGTATATTAAAAGAAGTATGTTAATCAATGTATACAAAGCAAACTTTGAAGATAAGATTTAAAGGCTAAACTCATTGTCATAGATAATGAATAATATATGAAAAATTATGAATAATATAAATTCTGATTGTTGGCCAGTTTTATTATTTTAACCTAAAGGTGAATAAATATCTGTATTTTATGTAAGTATAATACATTCAACAAAAGCATGTGCTTGCCTTCCAGTGCATTACAGAGCTCAGTAGCAATTGAATGACTCTTCTAGCTAACTCTAAAGGTAGTTATTAAAACACATTTGTATATATTTCCATATAACTGCCAACTATTTGTGGTTGGTTGCAGTTTCCTATGCAATGTAATCTTTAATCCTCACAGTATGAGGGGTATTATGCTTCTTTTATGGATGAAAAGCTGAGGCAAGATTAGACTTGTAAATTGTCCTGGTTCACATACAGTATTACTTACCAGACCTATGATTTGAACCAATGTATCTCCAAAGGCTCTACTCTTAACAAAATTACCATCCTGTCTCTAGTTAGATTTTACTCCTGGTGGTGTATATGTTTGCTAGCTACAGTGAATGATCAATCTGTAATAGCTATATTATTAAACCAAGTGCTCAAAACATTTGGGCAAAAGTGACTGTGGAAGTCCCTTTAAAGAAATCAGCTGAAGTTCCTGGCCCCCAGTCCTTGAATAAGGTATCTAAGTAAAACAACACATAGCAACAGGAAGAGATAACATTAGCAAAGTGGGTGCTCACAGCGTCTAGTGGAAACCAATTGAAGAAGTCAAGTCTAGAGTTTCTTGGAAAGCTTTCCAAGGATGAGCTTTCTAGGGCTGACCTTTTGGCTTCTTTTTTCCACTTTCCACTCAATTTATATCATGAAAGAAACAACAGTAACATATTTTTGAAATAATTTGCCTTCTAGCTGTTTTTTAAAGGCGCAGTGTTTTTATGCATGGGCCAAGAGGAATGTAGGTAACCCCACTTTTCTTTGAGCTCAAATGTAAGTTTATATACATTGTAGTGTATAAATGAAAAATTTTTATTTCTCTGGGGACAATATTTCTCATTATGAGAAACATTGGATTAGATAATTTTGTTTCCTTCTACCTGTAAAATACTCTGACCTCTGTTGACTCCTCAGTATTACTTGATAGCAGTTTTAGTGTACTAGAAAATCTTGGTCATGGGCTTGGCATATGCTGTCCCCATGCTTGGCTCCATGCTCATCCCCATGGAGCAACATGGAGTTATGCTTTAGTAAGGAGAAGTAAGATTCGAGTGTTTGTATTTTAATTACCAGCTCCCCCCCTTAAATCAGCTTCTACACAAGTAGTCAGGTAATCTTACTGAGCTTATGCTTCCATATATCAAAGGGATCCACAGAACTGCTGCAAAAATCATGAGTTGGTATATATAAAGGCTCACACAGTCAGCCTGACTCACAGTTGACATTAAATAAATATAGAATTTTATTCTCCCTCAATCTTGTATGGATTTAAGATTGACTGAGGTACTGGAAAGATAGCTCTTGCAGAGAACCTGGGCTTGGTTTCCAACACCCACACTGTGGCTCATGGCCATCTATAACACTTTCAGGAGGATTCCATATCCTCTTCTGAGCTCTGCAGGTACCAGCCACACATGTAATGCACATACTTGCAGGCAAAGCACCTCAAACATAAAACATTTTAAAGTGTTTAAAATATTTAAAAGAATATTGATGAAGATTATAAATTAGACAAGGATGAAGAACCTTTTTAAAGTATACTATGAAATAAAGTTTTATATACAAATAGTTATTATAGATGCCATTTCCAAACATTGCTGACTGAAAAGCATGACGATGGCATGCAGAGTAAGAAATGTTGCTTCCAGGAGCACAGATGAAAAAAAAAATTTTGCTGAAGAAAGATAAAGAGAAATGTGGCCTAGTGAAGATTTTGCAAGGGGCCCAAAGGAAAGAGTGGAGAAAAAAGGCAGTCG